TGTGCAACTGTTCCTCCCGCCCTGGATATATCCATACATTACTTCAAATGTTGTGATTTTAGTGTACCAACTTCTACTACTTATTGATTGTAATCACACCCGTGTTATAAAATCTAGGTGCTTGTTTGAAAGATGTTCAATATCACCAATTTATATTCGTTTTGGATATATTATCTACATGACACTGTGGCATACTTAAATACAGGTCACTCTATCAAAGAACGGTTTTGTGACTGTATAGCCCGAAACATCTAAATGTATTGTTGCAGTCAAGGGTAAAACCGGTTTACCCCCTTCTCGTTTAGTGTCTTAATGTTTAAAAAAAGTAGTCTTAATTTTCATCAAGATATAACAATATTATTTACCACTTAAATGTTGACCATATAAATTACCTAAACTCAGAGGTAATTCAAACATATTGTTGCGTCAGCGAGTCACATGACTACTGTGACGCAACGTTTCTAGAACTATCATGTACTCTGGCGAATGCTCTAGTATTTACTAGATAGGGTAGGTTGGTATATATAAGAGGGGGAAAACGTGACGCGGGAAGGTAATGTAATGTGTGTGTATAGACAGTGAGTAATTGAACTGCAGTCAGAGAGCACGAGAGACGTTACAGCGCTTGTTTAGCGCGATTGTTGAAGTTGAGTGTATCGGTAAAGTTGTATTCGGAAAGAATAAACCAGCTTTATTAAGTAAAGACTTGTGTCGTTAAAGTTTCGTCGGAACGAAGTTACGGAAAATTAATTAACAAACGGAGACGTAACAATATCCACTGGTTATTTTTGTTTGCTTTACAAGGACCCATTTCAGATTATGGAAATACACATAAACCAGTTAAATCTCCTCGTGGGTGTCGGAATAGTTCTAGAACTATGATCACTGCAAATTCCAGGGTGGCTGACCGAAGAAGTAGAATGCCTACAAAATGCGACTGCTTTATGCCAAAAATAAAATACAAATTACAACGAGGTTTGTTAAACGATGTACACGACAATTAAAGAAAATAGCATCCAGTATTCTTAGTGGAAGCAAAAACAAATTGTACAATCATCTCGTCAAGTTTAGATTGTGGGATTTTCGTCCACTCTTACTTCAAAACTTGGAGTAGATCGCTCTTCGAAATTGGTTTTTTTGGTTGTTTCTTGACTTGCCGGTCTAGTATGG